GCTTTCAAATCAGCACCGTCTCACCTTTTCTCGCGATTATTTTTCAAAACTACAGCCACTTCCCCAGAAACCGCGTTCCCATCAGTGCAGTTCAAATACGACTACACTGGTTCTCCTCTTCTTCGTTGGTGTTTTACTTCACTCCAGATGGTTGATGATCGTGTTGTCGTACATTTCTGCCACCTGCTGGAATTATTAATGCACTGCAATGTCAATTTCTCCCTCAGAGGCCGAACGTTTCCATCCCTTCTGCGCATGTCTGAGGTAAATCCGGCAAACAACAATCTATTTTATTCTTCTTTTAATTAAAAAAAAACAAACAATCCTCGAATATTGTTCATGTACTCTGGAAAAAATGTTTTTCTATGTCTGACTTTTTTTTACTTAAATTCTACAAAAAGTTTTTATTTACATGTTTTCGCTTTAAAATATAAACCTTTTATTTAACATGTTCCTTGTAGTTTCACTTGAACTACAGAGGCAGTCTAGGCGAAAATCTAATATTTAAAATAATACCTCGTTATTTATCCAGCTGTAATCTTTATTTTGTTAATATAAGTTATGGTTACAAGTAAATGACCACTATAATCACCTAGTAAGTCTATATCACGCCAAACAATTACTTAAAATCTATGAATTACCTACAGCCTTGCTGCATGTCTCAGCACAGCCTCGATTGACATTCCAGGACTGCAGGAGAGCTGAACGGTGCCAGTAGGGCTACAAAACGACCTCCAGCAGGGCACGCATGTGCATCTTTCTGCTCAAACTATCAGAATGAGACTCCAAGAAGAGGACAAGAGGGCGCGATGTGTGGAGGCCTGTGCTTAGAGCCCAGCACCGTGCAGCTCAACCAGAATTTAGCCAAAAACTCCAGAACAAAAAAGATAAAATGCACAAATGTTTTTCTTTGTTTTATTTTCACTGAGTTATCATTTGTGGCTTATTCACATACAGTAAAGACGATGACATTACACGGTCTCGAAGCTTATTAGAGCTGTGAAGTAAAAAAGTTTGAAATTTGCTTATGAGGAAAACACAGGTTTATATAAACTTACAAAATGCAGTAAATTCTACAGGATACAGAAAGGAAACTAGAAAAATAGAGTTCTTTAATATACATGGACGTAAAGAGCTATACATAATGTTTCAAGCGAGGTCCATTTCATGTGTGCGTTTCCATCGAGGCCTTTAATCCGTCAGGTACGTGTGAAGCTTACGTGTCAGAACAAACATAGATACCTGCTGAAAACTCTCGATAGTTTTTAATAAACAGGGTTACATGTGAAGCAGTAAACTGGGCAAACACTGGAGTCTGCGGTTAGATCATATAAATACGCTGCGTCTGTCTGCAGTGTGTCTGAGATCCTGAAACATTTCCCCCTCCAACTGTCAGTCAAACCTGAGTTTGGATGTAAACTGCACGCCAGCCACTGAGCTGTGTTAAAGGTCTGAATATTTAAACACGTAGCAGAGACATGAAAATAATAAAAAGGGTCAATCTGAGGTGTGTGAAACATGTTTTCTTCGAAAAGCTGGCAGAAATTTTGGCTTTTATAGATCCTCACTTGCAAAAGGAAACGCATTAAGAAACAGTTTTAGGGACCTTTTGCACTGAAAGCCCACTAAATGCTATCATCAGGGCAAAAACCCACATACAAATGAAAAAGCATGTCTGAAATAAATCCGAGTTCCTCTCCAAGCTCGCCTTCTCATGCAGCTCCAGACTGATTACAGAACTGCTGCTATTTTTCAATCAATCAGTCAAAGTCCTGTGCAACAAATCGAAGCGACCGTTTCATCTAAATGTCATTTTCAGAAAACTGGGCAAAGTCACAGAGAGAAAAAGCCCTGGTGAGTAAAGTGAACGATGACTAAGCTCCAGCGTGCAGCACAGAGGCTCAAACAGACTTCCAGGAGGTGACCTGAGAACAGCAGCAACGCCATCAGTCCAGAGCTGCACACAAAGATGACCCTGAAGGGGAGATCATCCAAATTTAAATCAGACCTTGCTTTGTTTTGTTTATAGGTGAATAACTGGAACTTGTCCTTTAATCGCAGCTCATATCTATCAGTACATCTGTCACAGAATGCTGCAAACTCTAACTTACACTTACTTGGACTACTTTTCTACCAAAAGATTTATCTGACTGTGAACTATCAGCGACAGCTCATAAAAGCATGAACTTGAGCTACAAAAACAAGACTTCAGAGACAGATACAGGTTTCTATCTTTCTACATACATCCTTATATTTCCATTTCCAAGTCTTTCTAAATACTAAAGAGTTCAGGACGAAGACAAACGAATCTCTTTTTCTGGAATATTAGTTTTTAATGGTAAATTATCATTAGTGTCACTTTGTTGGCCGGCTTTATTTGCTCAGGAAGCAAACGTTCTTGACTTGACCCCAGCGTGTCCTCTGCATGTACAGGATCTGTTGTCCTCGGCAGTCTCTGATCCTCCAGGTGACTAGAGAGGAACCTCGGGAGGGTTGTTCCTCCTCACGCGAGCCTTCCTGCTCTCCTGTTTCATCTTCAGCGCCCGCAGCTTCTGCTGCCGGCGCTTCTCGCGGTACCAAAGTTGCTCGCAGTACTCATCCACGGTCAGACTGTTGCTTCCCACCTTGTGCAGGTCTTTGTAGCTCCTCAGAGGGAGCTGCTGAGGCAGCCACGAGTTCCCATGTCCTGGCAGAGAAGGCGGTGCGTGAGGGGAGCCCGGCTGGCTCAGAAATCCAGCAATGCCTCCTCCTCCGGCCGGGCCGGTTTTCCCCAGAATCACTGGGCCCGGGAGGTTGGGGTTGTGGCTCTGCATGTAGCGAGCTGGGTTGAGGCTGTGCTTGGGGATAATGCGAATGCGGTATCGAGCCAGGACCTGGGCGTAGGAGTGCTCGTGGCCGGTGCAGGTGTAGAGGCCCGAGTCGGCCTGTTGCAGGTGCTGAATGAGCAAGCCTCGCTTCAGGTGGAAGGAGCGGTCGTCGTCGCTCTGAGGGAGCTGAGGAAAGAACGGCAAAAGTTCAGTCTGTGCTGTTCTTTGTATTCAAGGAGGTGCAGCAGAATATTGTGTGCACTCGTGTGCAGCAGTGCATTTTGGAACAACGGTAGTTAATGACAGTGGGACAGTTCGGATTAGCTGTTTTTACAGCCCACTGGTGGGTTTATATGCAACACGGCCTCTTTCTAAACATCTTTTAGACGTCCAATCTTGGTCAGGCAGAAACAAAGTCTTTCTGAGATACACTGTTTCTGTTTGCTCAGATTTAGCCAGAAAATAACGTCTGTTAATGTCTTGTCCTTTGGAGGTTCGGGACTAAAAATATATACAAATAAAACCAGAGGACGAGAACGTTTAGAGGGAAAATCCAGAGACTAAAGTCATGATAGTGTTTTTGGTGAATGAGCCACATCGGCGAGAGGAAGAAGACTCTACTGTAAACATCTGTAAAAACCTGAATGCTTTTAATGTGAAAGCTGAGAGCAGGAAACTCACCTCTCTGCTTTCATGTGTGTGACCGACAGTCTGCTGCTGGCTGTCTGAGACCTGCAGCGTCCACCTGAGCTCCGCCTGGGACGAGCGAGGAACACACTCCAGGAAGGTGGAGTTTCCCTCAACACCGTACACCACCTTCACCTCCACAGAGTCTGAATCTGACAAAGACACAGGAAAACCCTTAGGACATTGTTCTTTTGCTTTCACAGCTCTGCACACGGTGTGATTTTGTAGTCAGGTTCGTTTGAATGTGAGACAGCACAGGTGATAAAAGATTATACAGGAAAAATCACTTTTTTTGCATAGAACTGTAAATGAAAGATTTCCTTAACTGTAAAAAAAAAAAGTTTTCCGTTATTTTTGACCACAAAACAGAGAAAGCCGCAGTTATGCGATACATCCACTAGAGGGCGCCATACGCTCGTGTTCAGAGCACCATGGTAACAACAGGCATTTTACCTTAATTTCACTTTTTTGTAAAAATACAAAGTAACCATTTTTAAAAAGTGCTGTCGGCTCTTGATAGTTAATACCAGTAATTAAAATATGAAGTAAAAACACAAATGTTCCTTCTCAGGTGAGTTTAGTGATTCAGTGGATTTTCTGTTCACAAAAAAGAAAAAAGGTTTCAGGAAAAGACAAACTGCCACTTCTGTTTTTCTCTAATACAAGCTAAACAGTTATTTAGGATCATGTACAGAATTCATCTCAGTCTGATGGTTTCTGACTCTAAAGGAGGAACTGAGCAGCAGTCTGGTTTCTAATGAAAATCATTGATTAACATAATCAATAACAGGTCCAATGTGAAGGCGGAGCTGAGGGAGGGCAAGAGAATCAGTGAGCTGAGGAGGTGTGATACTTCCTGATTCTGTTATTGAGGGAGAACTTTAAGATCAAATCCACACACACACGTGTAAGAATTGACTTTTATCGGCTAACTTAAAGAAACTTCCAGAGTGTCACACAGAGTGAATCGATGGGTCAGTCCTGACAGACGCGACTAAATCTGTCAGGAAAAACGTTTGGAGTGTAAAATCGATTTGTTTGCAGTTTTTAACAGAACTTTAGTGTCTTTCCTGAAAAGTTCACGTGGGTATCTGTGTCTGATATATGTTTGGAAAGAAATGATGTGAATCACATTAAAAGGGGTCAAAAAGGCGGCTCACATTTAATATATGGAACGATCAATAACAAACATTGATAACGAAGCAGAAATCCCACATGATATATTCAGTGAGTCACATTAGACTCACAGAGTAGCTGAGCATCAGGTCATGTGATCGATTATGGGCCCACACAGCAAACAGGTTCCTGCCCCACAGTGACATTAACACTCTGCCACTGGTCACAGTACAGCACATGTACACATGTAAGTGTGGACATGTCTGCTGTGTCACAGCTGTCAGGAGAACAATAATTTAAACAGTTTATTCACATCAGCAGAGGAAATGCTTACCGTCCTCTGTGTCTGGACACTGACTCCAGGGGTCTCCATACTTCACATCCTGTCTGCGCGCCCGCCTGACACACACACACACACACACACGGATACTGTGAGTAACATGCAATCGATTGAACATAAAGACTTTCAGCCAGAGCTTGGTTCAAACATGGACGATGGATGGATGCACTGAGCCTCTCTCGTGCTTTATATCAACATTTATTTGTTTTTGTAAAAGCTGCACAGTCCTCTGATGATTTAATTCATGCTGAAAATGTTAAAAAGCAGCTTTGTGTGTGAGCAGACGTCAGACTCATCGGTTAAAGCACAGCTGACAGCGGCAGCAGCCGATAACGCCGTGCCTTTAGATAAACTCGTATAAGTGCATTAAATCCTCCCCCTCGCTGTTGTTGCTGAGCTCCTCTGCTGCCAGAAAAAGGAGCTACTGCGATTACGAATGAGGAAACGTGGAGTGAGAACAGGCTGTGAAAATACAGAGTGTTTGTTCAGAGTTTTGTCACGTCTCGTTCTGCTTCGGCCTCCCCGTTACCCCCCAGCCCTCGCACCCATCCTCCCCTTTTTTAGCTTTAACTCATCTGCACGACTCCAACATCACAATTCCTGCATCCTTTTCTCTGTAGGTCTCCTTCAGATGTTTGAGGAAACTTGAGCGCAGCGTGTACTCAAGTCTTAAAATCTCCCTGGCTGTGCAGGCGCACGATCAGCTGATACAGATGTCATTTCAGCTCTATGTCACTGCTGCGCCGCTTATTTCACCTTTTTATCGCCCTTCTTATTATAAATTCATGACAGAACTGCTTCATGGTCATTAAAAAAGAAATGAGTTAATGTTTATTTTAGCAACAATCTGCAGAACCGAGGGTCAAAAATCACTTTCAATCATAGCGCGGTTCACTGGAGGTGCCAACTTCCTCCTGGAGCAGCGCAAACGCAGGAGTTTTCCTTTTCCACTTCATTTATATCTGTGAAAAAAGGCTCGTAGATCGTGTTCTTGCTTTAAATCAGCGAGATTGTGTCATTGTTTTTTATCCTGAAGGCCATCAGAGGGACAGCAGAGCATGTTTTTACTGTAAGGCAGAAGACATTTGGTTCTCACACTGCAAAGTTTTAACAGCTAAAACTCCATCAGCACCGTCCACAGGTCGATCTTCCCGCTCCCCCGGCACGACCAATCACATATGAGAGGTCACACAAAGGTGGTCGTCAGCTCGATAAGTCGGCACGGGGTTTATCAAACTAGGGGGCGCTGTGCACACAGAGTCATCTACTAATTGGAAGGTCGGTGGTTCAATCTCTGGTTCTTCCACACAAGACTAAACCCCCAGCTGTCCCTCATGCTTCCATGAGAGCATGTGCACACGTGTTAAACAAGATGCTTGTGGGTGAATGCAGCTTCAGTTACCATGGCGATGTATCCCAGGAAGATGTGTGTGCATTAAACTTTTATTTTATATTTTGAACTGGTTACCAACGGCCCACCTGCACTGGCTCCGTGGCCCAGTGGTCTGCAGGGGTGCATGTGAGTCATGTCAGCTTGTTTTTCACAGAGACATCGGCTCTCGAGGTGATATTTGGCTTCATAATGTAGTTTTTGTCCTTTATCACACTCTAGATGTTTAATTGTGGCAACACGTGGAGCTCACAGAATAATTCACAGCCTTAAACTGTGAAAACGCAGACTGAGTGTATACGCTGAAATGTCCCTGTGGTCTGCTTTCTGTCACACAAAGAGCCGTAAAGACTTTAAACCATCAGAGTTAACTGGGTGCCTGACGTCTTTGTCTGCTCTGATTCTTATGAAGCTACAGTAGTGTTGAAAAGTTTACAGTGTTTGCACAATTATCTGTTTTAAATGAAAAAGAATCATGTTGTTGTTGAAATGTGCCATGAATGAACGTCATCTATTAATTTTGAACAACAACATAAGCAGGACTGAACGCAGTAAATCCTACAGCGTGTTCACACTCGCTGATAAACGTCCTCCCTCTCCGTCCTCGTTACCTCCGGCTCATGGCGAAGTATCTGGAGCAGGTCTGTCCATCCCAGGAACAGTAGGGGTCTCTGGCCAGGCAGCACTCGGCACAGCCGGTCCCGTATAACTCGCACCTCTGGAGCCCCAGCTGGGCCACGCCGAGCTCGCTGGACACGTACAGCTGTTGCTGCGGAGCAGAGGGGGGAGGAAGAGGAGAGCGTTTCTGTAGGCTGGCCGTACATCCTCACGGCTCATATCTGTTGCACAACTCTAAAAAAGTTGCTCAACATCCTGTTTCACCCATAATCTTCATATATGTTTACGCTTCTCTCAGTTTTGTGTTTTAAATTAAGGATTTCGGGGACTCGTGTCACTGAAATCTATAAAGATGTAAAGATGCTACAGAGAAGAATGATTTATTCAAAGCTGAAAAGTCAACATCTAATATTTAGATCAAATTTAAATACTTTAGATATCTTGGTCTGAATCGTCTGGATAGATGTAAAAACTCACATTTCCTGTTTGACCAGGACCATCACTGTGACATGAACCAAATAACGACTTATTTAAGTTAAGAAAGCTCCAGAAATACATAAGTAATCCAAGTCCGACACTTCAGAGAGAAACAGAGAGACTTACTCGCTTGGTGGAAAGCTCCATGCTGAGGATGGGAGCGGGACTCTGCGGGATCAAGAGGAGAAGTATAAATATAAGAAGTTACAGATAACGACGGCGGCGTTCATCGATGCAGCGTGATAGGTGAGAATTATTCATGAGACGAGGAATAATTTAGGATTTAGGAGTAACTGCAGTGCCGGCTTCATCGGGCTTGAGTTTCCTGTTGCACAATTCAGAAAAATTCTTATTGGTGAATAAATGTGGGAGAAAGCAAAGACGAGCAGCGTTTATGCTGTTTAACAGCTGCAGCAGCTGGCAGCAGAGAAACTTTTAAATGAGATTATTAGTCCGTAAATCAGTGGGCGATTAAAACTGGCCAACATGATATACAAAAAACACAGTTCACTATTTCTTATTTATTTTTATTACGTAAATATTTAAACAGCGTTTATATATCGATGTTATAGTGGACAGATACTCATGTGAGCATAGTTTTGAGGATCCTTTGACTCTATACGCACGTTTAATGGCAGTTGTTATGCCTTTTGGTCAAAAGTCAGTAGTTAGTGCATAGTCTGATTAAGTTACATAAGCAAAGTGATAAATAAGTTCAAAGTTAAGAAATATTATAAGTAATTCATGCTAAAAACAGTTAAAATGTCTGGGTTCGAAATTTG